CCTTCCATCCACCCTTCTCTGGTCTCCCCCATCTCCCACCTCCCTTGCCCTGCCCATCTTGATCACTTTTCTCCCTTCATAAGGCAGGCATGCTGCTCCGGGGAATGCTGCCTGCTGCTGGCTGGTCCAGGGAACTATCGATTAAACACATTTCCTCTCTCTTCTCTTGGAGGACACTTTATCATTCACTTCCTCCTCCGCTTTGCTCCGTTTCTTCTAATTATGATCACTGAGGACTTAATTTGAAAAAAAAAAGTCTGCAGACAGAATCCCAGATCCCCCTTCCCTACTGGCAAGACCTAAGGCAAGTGTAACCTTTCTGGGCTGTCCTCTCTTCTCTGTAAACGTGGGTAGAAATACCTGCCTACCCAGCAGGGCTCCTATGAGGCAACAGAAATGAACATGCGCTGTGAACAGAACAGCGCCAAACAGAAGGCACAGTCTCATCATTCTGTTAACTCCCCACCACGTGGTCTAACACTTTGCAAACGGCTCAGCTCAAAGGAATTTGATGACCATCATGCGTCAAATAAGTCACGTCAACAACAGATGACAGCAAGCCTCCCTCAGACGTGAGACACCACCCCAACTTGCAGCAGGCTCTCTGGTCTGGCGGATTTCTCTATTTTGGGGGTGAATGCATGTTCTTGAGTAACTGGCAGAGTGGTATGGCAGGACCAGGACCGATAGCAATCTCTGTAAGCCCCTCACTCTCTCTCCATTAGGGCAGGAGAAACGCCATGTTCCTGACCGCAGTGCCTAACTGACCCCTGTGCCTCCCCAAGCCTCCCTGGTGCTATGGAAATCTGTTCCAGGTTTACCAAGAAGGAAGTGGCCAGCCCCACCCCGCTGAGGCTCGCTGCAACCCCAAAGGCCATCTCACTGTGATAAAGATCTCAAAGGAGCTAATGAAATTATCTCCTCTGCCTTTTATTCCTCAGTAACAACCACAAAATTAGATGAAATGACCCCCTGATCCTCTAATTTAAGGCCGATTTTATTACCTACAACCCCAATTCTCTCTCTTTTAAACGGATATGAGACCCTGAAGACCCGCAGGCCAATGGGATTAGTAATTGCAGGCTTCTCCCTCCAGGCTGGTTCCAGGCGGTTCCCCAGAGGCGCTTCTCCTTCCCCGGGTGGGGTCACAGTCAGTTCAATCTTCATGCTTCAGAGACGTCCCTTTGAACAAGATCAAATGTTTCCCCACCCAGCCTGGTGCTATGCTCAAAGGAGCAGCAGCCCCTTCTCACTCAGAGCATTAATGTCAGCTCAGCCAGAAAGCAAGGCAAATGGAGGTCACTGCTTAATTGTCCACCAGGCTAACCCCAGGCCCTCCAACCAGCACCTTGGGAGGGCTGGTCACCCTCATAAAAAGTCACGTGCACTTTGAACCCAGGAACAAGGAGAATGGGAACTATTTCCCCAGCCTGCTGGGCCGCCTGGGAGCTCCTGCTGTTTGTTTTCTTTTGCAGGTTGTCACCAGAAAGGGTGGAAGACTTCCCTGCGGCAACCCCAGGCAGGCAGATAGAATGCAGGCGAGATGAGCACGGAGACTGCCCACCAGGAAATAAAGGGCAGGAAAGATAAGCATCGGTGGGGTGGGGTCGGTCTAAAGGGAGCCAGCTTCCTTCAGCTTCAAGAAGGAACCTGAGAGAACAGAATTCTGGAAGCCTCAGAAACTCCTCCACGTAAGGAATGCTCTAGGGAGAAAAAGCATCATTTAAAACGAAGGGTAGTTGCTTGTTATCATTAAAAGAAGTGGAAGAGGAAGTTTTTTCACTCTCTTTGGCCTATTTGGAGAAGTTGCTTGATTCGCTAGTCATCCAATGGCTTCCTTCCAACTCAGGCCCATAATTGTAAAAAGATGCAAAGGAATAGGAAACAGTCCTTCCTTTCTTAGCTGAAAGAGGACATGGGAGTGATCACAACACCACCTCCAACCCTCCCGTAAAGCAAAAGCCCAAGATAGTCCATTTAAAACCAACTTTTCCTAGAAACAGGAACTTGAACGTTTTCTTTCAAATCAATAAAACAGTGTGTATGGGACACACCAGCCAGCCAGTCACATTGTGCATTGACTGTGCTCGGAAAATGGAAAAAGGCAAACTCCTCCTAGAGCTGTCAACATCTGGGGGCAACTTCACAGGCCTATTTTGGAGACTTTACTTCTGTAAGAAGAAGAAAAGAGAAAGGCCTCACCTGAAAACACCAAGACACCCGCGTGGTATGTGCCATTTATTTATTTAGAGAAAGAGACAGAGAGGGTGTGTATGTGTGTATGTGTGTGTGTCTGTCTGTCGCCAACTGCAGTCTGCATTTCGGCAATCACGGAAATCACCAGTCAGAGATCCATATATTAAATGACACTGGAGTCTGAGACCAGCAGACCAATCGCTGTGCCCACTAGTTGCCTGTGCTCTGATGGTTCTCAAATGTCTACCCTGGACACAGGGGCCCATGCTGGACAGTGTCTTTGGCTCAAAGCCGGCACTCCAGAACAGCTAAATCACACACCCATCCCGATACACAGTTCTACTGCGGAGGCACTAGCAGCCCCGTCTTTAGAACAGTGCCCATTTCACTGCATGAAAGAAGAGCACCATCTTAGAAGTCCAAAACCAAACTCTAGAAGCTCTAAGGACATTCAGGAATGATATCGCTTGTTGGCCCCTCTAATTAGGATGATGTGGGGTCGTCAGGGCTCCACGACAGAGAGGTGTGCCGTGTGCTAAGTGCATATCTGCGAGTGAGAACCCTGGGTGGAGGGGGACAAGCTTGATGACTTGCCCGAACTCATTTTCCCAGCCTGACTGCGACTGTATTCTAAAATAGGAGGCCCTGAGACAGAGCCTCCTAGGAGCCAAGCACGTTGCTAACTCGTGTTACCTGGTAAGCACTCCCCTCGCGTTCGGCAGCGTGCAGACCAGACATGCAACCACCACCCTGCCTTCAGTTTCTGCACAGATGGTGCGACACCAGATACTTAGCAATACCGCAAATTCCAAAACCCACCAAAAAGCTCAAACACACTCATATTTTAACATCTGGGCTTTTAAATGGCAATTCGTTTTCTTAGTTTATTTTTCAAGTGTGACCGACGAACTGACTCCGTGGAGACTGGAAATTCCTGGGGAAAGCTAAAGCCCGCGCTCCATGTGAGCCCTAGGGGACTTGAAGAACATGAGCGGGGTCAGCTGAGAGTCACATTTCTGCCTTGTCTCTCACTAAATGCTCCTTCCAGCAGCTGCACTGCTGGGTCTGCACCAGGCAGAGGAACACACAGTTATGTGGCTGCTTTTCCCTGGGACCTGTTGGCTGGTGCCTCTACTAGGCTGTGGAAAGCACATGCAGAAACCAAAAGATAACTTCTCTCTCTTTGCTCTAGTGCTGCGCACACCCGAACCAAGCAACTGGAAAGGCTGAATAACGAGCAGTGTTCGGGGAAAAACAGGATAAGATGCAGGAGCAAAACCACAAGACCATGTTCTCCTAAGTGAGAGGGGTCTTTGGTTAGATTTAAGTACCCTCCCTCCCCCAGCTTCCAGGAACTCGGGCACCAACCAGTTTCTGAAAGGGACCCAGGCCCATTCTGGCTCCAACATTCAAGCGAAACACCACCCAGGGGGTTGCTAGTCCCAAGCCACAGGATGAAGCAAAATGGTGTCGAGCCAATCAGCACACCTCGCAAAGAACCCAACGTACTAAGAAGTACGGGGGAAACTGAAATGCACTGACTTAAAGGGTGTTTGTTAAAAAATTATTTAAACCTAAACTGTGTTTTAAAACAAATGCTCAAGCCACTCAGAAATACTTTTATTCCCTCTGGGTTTTAACTGGGAAAGTCTTTCGCTTGCTCCCTTACTGCCTATACCAGCCGTGGGCAAACTACGGCCCGCGGGCCGGATCCGGCCCCTTTGAAATGAATAAAACTATTGAAAAAAAAGACCATACCCTTTTATGTAACGATGTGTACTTTGAATTTATATTAGTTCACACAAACACTCCATCCATGCTTTTGTTCCGGCCTTCCGCCCAGTTTAAGAACCCACTGTGGCCCTCGAGTCAAAAAGTTTGCCCACCCCTGGCCTCTACCTTTAGATCCATGTTCAATCCTAGGGCGGACCAGCTCCCAGGGTCTGGCTGACAGATGTCTCACCCAGGGCAGCCAAGAGGGCTGGATGCTCAGGGCGGCAGGTTGTCACTGAATACATGACTGATCCCTCCCAGCATCACTTACGACTCAAGAGGAAAACAATGGCACAACAACTCCTGACATCCTTTTCAATAGGGGTAAGAATCCAAACTCCTATTGACTGACTATATTATGATAAATTCTCAATTAAGCGTGCTAATGTGAGCAAACAACCATGTAATTAATCCAAAAAGGCACTCTACAAATCATTTCATGGGCTCAGGAATACATTAGGATTTTTTTTGTGTGTGTGCCACAGTTTAGTTTACTGGGGCATTTTCCCCCTCTCAGACTAACATTCATTCATTTATTGAAAGTCTGTTCCATGCCAGCAACCATGGTAGATGGGAGCTGGCAGCAAAAAGAACCGCACAGACTAGAGGAGAGAGGCAGGCACAAACCAGAGAGGAAAGCTCACCATGGCCGGTGCAGCCTGTGGGCTGAGCAGAGAAGCAGACAGTTTGATAAACAACAAGTGAAATTGGGGCAAGGTCTTCATGAGGAAAGGATTCTAACGCACCTATTCAGGTGGAGGGGAGAGGGTGCCCAGCACAAAGGAAGAGCAGTCGGTGATGAGAAGGCCAGCCATGCCCAGGAGAAAGCCGGCCGGGTAAGCCTCTTCACCCGGTAACTGCCCAAGGGGCAGGGACCACCTTACACTTTCCTGAGAGGGGACGCTGCCCTACATTTAAGAATTTTCTTTTAAATGAATGAGAATGTTGGGTGGTGACCAGAGTGCATCGTCGTGGCTAGAGTTTCCCCACAACCAACCTGAGCATGAGGAGGCCCCGGAGCCAACCCTTACCTGTCGAGAAGGGGCTGCTTAACGAGAGGCACAGCCGGTGCCAGCCGTGAACGCCGGAGCCTGCTTCCCAGTTCACCTGAAAAACAACAGGAAAGGGCCGTGTTTGTTAACGGGGAGCAGCCAGTCTTTTAACAGTCCCAGTGGAGACCCGCGGACCGTGTCGCTTGGGTCAAAGAGCCCTGGCCAGAATGCTGGTGTTACAACTCAGCAGCAGGGTGACTGAGCCAGGCCCTTGCCACCTGCTCACAGTTCCCCCTGCCACGGCCTCCTCGGAGCGCTTCGGAAGGCCTTCTAGCTGACATAGCCATGCCACGCCCGCAGCCGCACGGATGTGGCACGCTCCCTGCTCCAGGGAGCTGACAGCCCAGGAGGCACAGAGGTGAAGAGGTGGTAAGCAGGCCTGAGGCCGCTGGCAGGAGCTGAAGTGAGGAAAATGCAGGTGAGGAGCGGGGAGCCTTTGCAGAGGTCCCAGCCGCCCAGAGGCAGCCGAGGGCTCCTGGAAGCTGTAAGTGTGTGCGTGGCTGGAGAGAAAACATGCACGGAGGCACCCTTTCTGAGTGCCACAGGGTCTCGGAAGAGGCATGCCCTCGTCCTCAAAACTGACTGGGAAGAGCCTCTCGGGGGAGGAAGGACGGTTTCTGCCGCTGGCCAAGTCCCCCTGGTGAGCAGCACAGAAACAGGGTCATTTCCCAAGCTTCTCTCTCAAAATGAAATAGATGAAGAGTAAAACAATCCCAAGTGCAATGATGGTGTTTAACCTTAATTTTCACATATAAATCACCTGGCTTTTCAGTTCAACTGGGCAAGTGTATGTGACTGGCCACGTTATATAGAAGTATGCCAGAGTCATCAAGAATACTAAAGTCCCTACTACACACACTCACTCACACACACACACACTCACACACACATTCACACACACTCACACACACACACGCACACACACACTCACACACACACACACTCACACACACACACACACTCACACACTCACACACTCACACACACATTCACACACACTCACACACACACACGCACACACACACTCACGCTCACACACACACACTCACACACACACATTCACACACTCACACACACACACTCACTCACACACACACACTCACTCACACACACACACACTCACACACACATTCACACACACTCACACACACACACGCACACACACACTCACACACACACACACTCACACACACACACACTCACACACTCACACACTCACACACACATTCACACACACTCACACACACACACGCACACAACACACTCACGCTCACACTCACACACACACACTCACACACACACATTCACACACTCACACACACACACACTCACTCACACACACACACACTCACTCACACACACACACATTCACACACACACATTCACACACACACACGCACGCACACACTCACACACACATTCACACACACTCACACACACACACGCACACACACACTCACACACACACACACTCACACACACACACACACTCACACACTCACACACTCACACACACACACACAGTGAATGAGAGTCAGTTCTGCCTAGTGTCCTCCCGGTATCCTGGGCTCTTCATGAGCTGCCCCAGCCCCCAGTGCCCGCTGTGGCCCTGCACGCAGGCCTGCACTCCTTGCACAGTGCCCATCACCCCATCAAAGCCACCCCCTTAGCAAGCTGATCTGGACAAGCATTTTATGAAATTATTCCTGTTAAGGTATAAATAATTATTATATTACCTGTCCTATGGATGCTTACATGTTGAATAGGACGTTTAAAGAGAAATGTTTCACCCACATTCCTCTAATGGTAGATTTTAGGCATAGCAGTCAGTGAGTTCCACCTTTTGGGTCAGGAACCCTTTCTACAGCCCTCCAATCCCATCACATGGACCATTTCCCTCTTCCCCTGTTTTATAAGCTGACTCTGCCCCTACCAGGGGGTTGGGGTGGGGTGGGGGGGCTGAGATGGATCCTGCATTTGTAGAAACGAAGATGAACATTGATACAATGATGTAGAAAGTCCGACTCCTCAATCTGTCAATTCACCTGGATCAGAACCAAACTGCCCGTGGAGGGTGAGGGCCCTTCATCCATCTCTGTCAGCATTTACTTAGGAAAGGGATGTGCATTATCCCCAGCATCTGAACCACAGTAGGGGAGAAAGTGGGGAGAAAGTGGGGAAAGTCGGCCTCAAGACTTTCCTAAGACCTCTGCAGAGGCCCAAGGCTTATAGCCCAGTTTTTTCAAGAAACCCCGAAAGCAGTTAATAATCAGTGTCTGTAAAACCTTCCTAAAAAGAACGGCCTCAGAACTGACTTTTTACACTGCTGACAAAGGGCTCTCTGATTTGGTCCCATCCAAGCAAGATAAGAAAGAGCCTCTCTGTGAGAATAGAAGCACGTGTCACGATGAAAATGGAAGTGGGGCCAAGGGCAGAAGCCAGCCTTTGCCACCAAGTATCCAAGAGGCCAAAAAAGGAACAGGGAAGGGCGCCCCTCCCACCACCAGTGCCACAGGCTCAGAGGGATGGGTTTCTAAAGCATGTTCCTCTAACCTGGTGTTTCTAACACCTGCCTGATCAGAACCATCTAGACACTCTGCTTAAGAAATACAGACTCCCGGGACCCACTCCAGGCCTAGAAGGTGAAATCTGCAGGGGTGGGGTCTGGGAGTGTGTATGTCCAGCCAGCACCCCAGCAGAGTGTCAGGCGAGTTTTAGAAAGAAATGCTCTAAATGAAACAATAGGTAACTTTAAAAAACTTGGTAATCACGTAACTTCAAAGTGCTAGGGTGTATGAGAAAAATGCAGGCTTAATTGGAGGAAGTTGGAGCCTTTTTCATTTAGTTAAATATGGAATATAATCAACATGTAATGAGGAAATCAATGCAACTAAAACTTAGCAAAACAAAACCTCTCCCTTTAACTACATCCTGCCTGGAAGACCCTCCACCACCTCCCTCCCTGCAGAGCTGCTACTCCTGACAGCAGGCACAGTGGGCACAGCCGGAATGGAAGGGACAGGCAGAGAGCCTGCAGGCTCCTCCCAGTAGAGAGCAGCCCTAAGTAGCAGGCAACCAATTCCATGTCAGACCCCACAGGCGCCTTCCTGATCTCAGCCTTTTCAGCTTTCAGCGTCCAGGGGATGATTCCATAGTCTTGTCCGCCGCTGGGCTTCATGTGAGGCCCTGCTACTCATGTGTTCCACAGAACCAGCAGCATCAACTTCAGGGGGAGCTGGTTAGAAACTCAGAGCCCCAGGCCCCACCCAGGCCTGCTGAATCCATCTGCACTTTGAAAAGATTCCAGCTAAATCTTTTGCACATCCAAGTTTGAGGAGCCTGCTTTAAAGCGTGGAGAGTGCCACGCTATACCCCACCTGTGGACATCCAGGCCACCACTCCCACCTGTGGACATCCAGGCCAGCAGCCCCACCTGTGGACATCCAGGCCACCACTCCCACCTGTGGACATCCAGGCCACCAGCCCCACCTGTGGACAGCCAGGCCACCACTCCCACCTGTGGACATCCAGGCCACCACTCCCACCTGTGGACATCCAGGCCACCACTCCCACCTGTGGACATCCCGGCCACCACTCCCACCTGTGGGACATCCAGGCCACCACTCCCACCTGTGGACATTCAGGCCACCACTCCCACCTGTGGGACATCCAGGCCACCAGCCACCTGCTTATGCTCCAGGCTCTAAGAGGCCTTCTTCCCTCACACTCTGTACTCACGTCTTGTCAGTCTGAGTTTGTCGTGAGGCCAAATCACCATCAGCAGAGCCCAAGGACCAGCTGACAATCCAAAGCCCAACTCGTAGGCAGTGAAAAGGAGGCAGTAAGTACTGATCGTCTCTTACATTCTCATCTGGCTCTTACATCTGCCTCCCTTAGAAGGCAGGAGCAGGGACCCATGACCATAAATCAGTAGAGACAATCCAAAGTCAAACAATACTGTGGAATGCTGGCTCTCTTGGTTCCAGCACATTGTTAATGAGGTCGAGGTCACGGGTACGATTAGCTTCCTCTGTATCTTGGCACAGACCCCAACCCTCTGCCCTCCAGCTGCCGACAAAGGCTGATGCACCCTTGGTTACTAAGAGGACTCGGAGAATGACGAGGGGAGGCTGAACAGAGAAGCACCAGGCAGTGACTCAAAGAGCTTGAATGACTGATGAGCAGAGAGTACAGAGGAGCAGCACGGGGATGTGACAGATGACGGGTCAGAATTCAACGTCAGCCAGACAGGCTGAAACAACAGAACAGAATGAGAAAGCTGAAATTGCACCGAAAGAAATGGGAAGTCTCGTGGCCAAGATTTTAAAAATTCAATACAAATATATAATAAGCTAGAGGAAATCTAACCTGGTGGCAATTCTTGTTTAAAAATGTTTGAAATTTTTTTAAAGACATGTAAATTATGTTGACTATGTAGTTGCTAAGAAAGCTAACATACCCTTAGTGTCCCTGAGTCTAGTTTCCAGACCACGAGAGCAGTGGTCCCCGTAGCATAACTGACCAGACCAACCTAGCGAGTTTGCCCGCCACCGCTCCAGCCGGTACACACACTACCTTGTCACCTTTTCATCACCACCACCACTTGGGCTCAAATCATTCAGTGTGGCCGCTAATGGCTACAGCTCTTTGGGGCTTGGATTATAGTTTAAGCATTCCACACATCAGCTTCGCTCCCTCTGATGCTAGCCCCCTCCCCCCCCCTTTTTTTTACTAACCAAGAAAAGAACTATATACCTAAGCACAAAGTGAAAAATACATGTAAACAGACAAGACAACTTAAGCATACACATTTACCAAAAGGATTCAGATAAAAAATGACCTGCAGTCACCTGTCTAAGCCGGCACACCATGCTACATATTACAGCATGAGTCCATGCAGAATCAGTAATTAGGCTGGTAAATTATAAGCTTCCACTACAGAAGAACCCTGAAAAGACTGCTCTAAGAATGAGCAAATGACAGAGTAAGTATCTGCTGAGACATACTTCTCTATGTAGAACCATCTTCTAGGAATAGACAGCCATTTAAAAAA